CGAGCACGCGCTCGCCTCTGATATGTCGAGGCCATTGGAAAAATTGAAATCTGTAATTTCCTTCGCCCTGTAGCGAATATCCAAAGACGCCACTTTTGTGGAAAATATATTTTCCGCGTTAAATTGTACGGATGGGAAGTTTGGAACGAACGTAGCAAGAAACTTGGCGTGTAATAAGTTCGAAGACTCGATGGTTCGAATATTCGAAACGTTATCGTGCTCTGTCTAATTTCGTACTTTCGTTAAATAAATCTTTACGTATTTGTATCTATCTCTGCCTGTGTCTCCGTTGCTTTCGTTTTACCCTCCTGGCCAACATTCATCGTTCAAATCAATGTTTAGATGATCCAGACATGGAAACGGAAGCGGAAGCGTTGAACGGTGAGGCCACCGATTCCCGAAAGATGGAAGTTCAGATCGGGGGCGCGGTGACTCTGGAGTGCGACGGTGGTTGTTGGGGACATGGTCCTGGAATGGATCCAGTCGGTGGTCCCGGTCCATTGGCTCTCAGTCGAGTCGTTTACCAGGAAGCTGGCGAATATCGCTGCGTCGCACCTGACAGAAAAATGCAAGACACCTGGCGTGCCCAACTACCCTATCACATCAAGGTCACTGGTAAGTCTCGATATACCAGCACGATTATTCCCATTGTCTCATCGTCGTTCTTTCTCTTATTGTTATTATTTTGATTAAAAGTCTGGAATTCTCAAGATCACGCTAATGTCTGATCAGAGGCATCCGTGACTCGCTTGTCTGACATGTGATGGACCGTTGCTACTTATGGCAATAAGCGTAGGTTTATTCTACTCCTGTAAATTGTATTTGTATTAATCGTATTTGTTCTAATAAGTGTCGATCAATTATCAGGTTAACTGGAGGAAATGAATTGGTTTCTTACTCGAATTGTTAATAACATCTCGATGTAATAACTTATTCTCTTGGCGTATTATGTTTCCAACGTATCGTTATACGATATTTATAATCGGAATGCATTGAAATTCGTCAAATTAATTTCTAGCGATTAACTTTTAAGTCTGCGATTATAGGAGTTTCCGACTAATGAACGACCTAGTTACCGGGTTAAGGAGAACCTTTACTCCTTTCCTCTTTAAGGAAATATAAATCTGCTCCTCTCTACCTATGTGAAAAATATCATCGTTCCTTTAATGCGATTAATTTGATAAAACGCGGTAGATCGTGTTGGATTAAGTTTAATTTAAATAAAACAAAGGACGACCTTGAATAACCATCGATAACCAGTGTGGAGAAGGAGTGGGTTAATTTACCAGGAGGGCGGCTAATTCAAAGCTTATCGTCATTAGTCACTATCATGAGACTAACCCTCTTTCGTACCACCTCAATGGAATTATCCAATTTTCTCCAATAATTGCTCGCGTGCGCCCTTCGACAACCACCTAATTGCAAGACTTATGAACGCACTTTAGATAAATTACGTTTGATCCTCGGCAGAGTGAGTCCGCCAATTTGAACGATTACTTTCTCGTAGACCACTTTTCCTGCCTTTCGTCTTCGCTCCTTTCAACTTAATCGTTTACCTATTTTTCCAAATTTCTCCCGTGAACGCGCTAACGTTTCTCTCGTCGGAGAAACCAGCGACGTTTTTTTACTCCGCGGTGTAAATAACCATTAGCCAACGGCCTCTTTAAAATGGCCTCTAAATTGTTCATGTTCATTAAGCTTTTTTTCGTGTACTCGCGACTGTTGTATATTTTTCCTGTATTTTGGAATATTTACACGAGGAACCCACGTAGGAAAAGCGAGACGAAAGAATTAGAATTTTCTACCGTACGTTCTACACCCACTTCTATTTTTTCCTTCCTTTTTCTCTCTCCTCTTTTACTACTTTTTTCATTCTTGTAACATTATTATCGTTCTTCACGATGCTGCAACCGATGGTTTTTCCTTTCCTCCTTTCTCCGGCGATATATCGCGTGTAACACCGAGGAAAACTTGTCCTTTCCTCCGCTATGCAATATGCGGTGAGTTCGTTGTTCCATGAACGCATTCTTCCACTCGACATTAAGCGAATTTTCAACCGAAGAGCAGCAGCTTCTTTGAGAAATCAATCGACGCGCTCGCGTCGTTAAATACCTGGATAAATTGCCTGTAGGAGAAAAATTAATTAAAACGGGATAAACGCGGTCATTAAATCGGCGTGAAACGGGCTTAAGAACGAACGGCGATCGAAATTGAACTCGCTACGACAGCTCGTCGACGTTTGACGATCGTCAAATGGAATTATCTTGTTTCTACCACTGTTATACCGCTAACTTTGCTCCGCGATAATTCTCCGAGTTATGTATAGCATAAATTCCTCGTAGTAATTGCAGGAATCCTCGATCAGTGAATAGTGGGATCGAGAATTTATATAATTCCAAGAATTTTTAATACAGTGATCGTACAACGCGGGAATTTAAATAACCTGAAAAATTAAAAATTCTCCATGTCTCTTACTTGGGGAAAATACATGCAAGAACCGAGGTAATTCTAACATGTCTGTGAGCTTTAAAAATGCCAAATTCGAGTGCAAAATTTTCAAATCTTTGCAATTAGAAGCATTTGCATCTAAATCGTTATTTCAAATAATTCCAAGAACGCTCAATGTACGAACCGTGTTAAAAGAAACAAGAATCTAAGTAATTCCAAAAGTTTGTAGTTGAAAAATCATTTATCCAAGAATCGAGGCGGTTCTAAAAATCCCTCGTCCAAAGACTGTAAAATAGAAACTTTAAATAATCCCGAAAACGTTCAATCTAAAAAATCTCGTTGAAAGGAACAAGAATTTTGAATAAATCCGAAGATCGACGTTCTGGTCGTTTTCACGTGAATGGTCACGTTTCCCCATAGTATCTTTCTTCGGAATGGCGGATATTCGACTTCTCGAAGGGTGGACTTGGATGAGAGGGAAAGAGAAAAGTCGAGTCAATGGTAACAACAGCAGGGCCTTCGTCGTCGTGCGACTTCTGTTTGATCTTGGAAATACGCGTGTCTATGTATAGACACATAGGTGGGATGCGCACGTGTATATTCGAAGACCCGTTTTCCCCTGGTAAGGGCGCGGAAAACAAGTTTATGACGCGGAATGGGAATTGGTGCGTCGTAAAGGCTGTTTCGTACGCACCATGTCCTGTCGAAATGATCCTGTCCCATTTTGAGGGGGTGAGAAACTGAATCTGCCGACTACGCGTTGGAAATTGTGCAACTACGATGGTTTCATGGTTTTAACATCGTCAAACGATTCTAAGTTGTTCGCGTTATACGGTTAGTTTATATTTCAAAGGATAGCAGTGTTTAAAATCTCGTAGTTTATTTCTTCTGAAGAAAGAGGATCTTCTAGGGTTTATTTTTCTGGGTTTCTCGTTTGAAATTTGTCCGTTTTCTCTTCAAACGAATGAGGTTTCCAGTTGTAGACTAGACAACAAGAAACCATGTAAGAACTTGCTCGAAGCGTGAGATGATTTTCGACGTATTCGACTTGCAGCGCGGTATAAAATAAACGAGTTCGTAATTAACAAGAAATCAGTTGTACAAAAATAATATACGAATGAGATATCGCAATAAAGTCTAAAACAAGGATCGACGTTCTCCTTTATCCAAACTCGATATTTGTTGCACATATAACTACTTTGTTGCACGTTTTGCATGCTTTCCGATATTTCTATGGTTTAATTCACATCTAATCTCGAGGATACAACTTTTACGACCATCGGAAACAAAGTATCTGTGAGGTAGCGCAACATCTCCTTTTTCCAAGGTTATAAAACGTCGATGATATAACAAGAAGCAGTATCGCAAACATACGAATTGCGATTCAAGCATCGTATACTCGAAGAACACGGTAATCCGACCTTAATAAGAATGTTCTTCGCGACTCCTTGTCCGTAGAGTTGGATAGCCGCGAATGAAAATGACGCGGGATTATAAGAACGAGAACCGAGCGGATGTCGGGCAAGAGGAGCGAGAAGACAGGAAACTTTGAGAACGTTTAACTTCTCCGTTCTTTCACCGAGCTGTAGGCAAAGTAGTTCGAAACGGAAACCGATCGTTTGTCGTTTCTGACAGATTATGGAGGGTCAACGTCCAACACTCCGGGTGGAAAAGCAGTGTACGCTTCCCGGGGTATTAGAATCTGATTCAAAACCAAATCGTTAATGGAATTGACTATTATAAGTTTGTATGCCGAGTGCCGGCTTGCTAAGAGAGTTGAAACCAACAGCATTTAGTAATGAATTTCTCCCTCTAGCCAAATATTTTACGTCAGATTCTACCTTCGAATCAGGTGACTAACTAAATAATTCTTTAGAAAGTAATCGTCGTACGTTTTGTCCGATGATAGGATATTTATTAAATTCGCGATGACGAAAATTTGAAATGTCGATTAGTCGTTGACGCGAAAGAAAGGCAAGATTTGATGACGACAAAAATGATATTGTTGATATCCCAGCAAACTACGATACAAGAGAGTTTTCAAGTTTTTAAATGTAAATTGCAAGCTAAATACCGAAAGATTTTAAATCTTTTTAAATTTCAAAATCCGAAAGTTTAAATTTGTGAAAAGATGTAATTAAAAGTTCCAAAGGTATAATCCTTTAACGTTTGAATCTCAGTATTTGCGCATAAATTTCCGATCTAAAGTATCGTACCAGATCCAAACCGATCGAACGTTTCTTTAATACCCGTCACAGAGCGCATTCCGCGCACTATCTTTGTCCACGTTGCTTACACATCGATGATAAATGCAGATTCTTCTTTGCAAGCCGCAATCGTTGGCCTTTTCTCATTCTACGGTCTGCGGAAGCCTTTGCTTGCTATCCAGCCCGAGGCAATCGCTGAAGCAATCTCGACTTCTTATTGATTGCAGCTCAGGCAACTCGTGCGTGTAAGGGGCTCAGCCAGTCGAACGGTATCCTCGGGATTTTAAAATCGTTTCCCTGGATTGAACAAGGGGACGCCGCGGGAATCATCCTATCGCGAATTGTCTCGATTTCTCTGCTTGTTTTTTTCTTCCTCTGCCTCTCTTCTTGTTGCGAGTTGGAAAAACAACCGAACCAACCATTTTAATTCCTTCTGCAAATTATCGATTTTTCGTGCAAACATCGAAGAGACCGGCGAATTTTGTACGTTCTTGGAATACGTGGAATGAAAAGAATATCGTGGGGAAAATACAGCGAAGTTTGTTGGTTATATAAAACGTCAAGTTCCGATTTTTATGACTGCCCAGTGTTGACTTCCAACAAGGTTTCTCGCTTATTTCATTTTTTCCCTTTGATGTGTACACGCTTTGGTAAACTTTGCGAAAAGTAGATTAATATTAGAAATGTATTAAAAATAAACGAATAGAAAAATATCGAAAGGCGCGATAAATTACTGTAATTTATAATATATTCGTTATTTACTTTTTCTCCCTTTTTTTTGTACCTGTTTTATAAACCTACGCGCGTAGAACGAAACGTGCAACGAATATGCTTTGAATAACATACACTCGGATTCCGAGATCCGCTTTTATAAATATTGCAGTCAATATTTCTTATCGGTGTTCCATGTATTTCTCAAAAGTTCGCGGTTCTTGACTTTGCCCGAGTTATTCGTTCGCA